AAGACGAAATGCAAACAGTCCACCATGTAAAACAATTTTCAATATATATATCAGTTCCCACTTATGGTGCCACAATAATGCAAAGGGGGACTTTTGTAAAAAGATTAATTTATTCATTTGAATTTTATTTTTATTATTTTTATTTTAAATACTTTGACTTCGTTTAACAACATTTTGTACAGATTTTTCTTTTACATGGTACTTTATCAAAAAAACATACGTTTGTTATATAAAATCAGCGCAAACTATTGTTAAACGAAATTAAATATATATATATATTAAGACATTTTAAATCAAAAATAACAAAACAACAATTACATTTTAGACAAATGAGAGCAAAAACCAATATTTAATCCCTCACCTTACAAAGTTAATAAATTTTAACCCTTTATCTTATAACATGACATTTTTAGTCCTTTGTCTTATATAAAGTTGGTAAATTTTAACCCCACTTTACAAAGTTAGTAAATTTTAACCTTTTACCTCATATTATAATATTTTTAACCCCTCAACGATACGAATTAAAGAAAATAATCCTCACTTAATTTTAAATTATAACGTTCTGTTAGTTAACTATTTACCTCCATTAGCATTTTGTTATAAAAAATATAAAATTTAAATTCAATTTTATTTATTAGTTCTATAAATGAAATATTAACGAATACTAACAGTCAACTAACAGAACTGACAGTCAGCTAACAAAACTGACAATCAGTTAACAAAACTAATAAATATTATAATGTTAAATAAAAATTATTTTCTTTAATTCGTACAAATAAAAGACTCAAAATGTCATAATATAAGTTGAAAAACTAAAACCTACTAACTTTGTAAAGTGATAAGTTAAAATCTACCAATTTGTAAGGTAAAAAGTTAAAAAGTATCATATCATAAGGTTAAGAACTAAAACCTATCAATTTTGTTTTGTGAGGTAAGAGATTAAAAGTTAGTTTTAGCCGACAAATGAGTAGTATGTTCTTTCGATACTATTACCATTTTACCCCTTTTCTTACTGTTCAGGTAAAAGATTTAAAATTTCAAATCATGTAGGTAAAGGAGTTAATGGGTATACGCAAATCAAATACCTAGCATTCGTTGTCGAAGTCTTGAGTTAAGCGATGGATCTCCCGTCGCCGGAATCCCTGTCAGGAGATGTACCCTGCTTTTTGTTTTTTTTGGGATAAAATAGTAAGAAAATGCATCCATTAATTTTTACAGAAATTAATTGGGAAAACAGAAGTTTCTCCAGTTAGGGCCACGCTGAGACTTACACGCTGCCGGGATGATGCTTCTGACAGAACTGGATTCACAGACCTTTCTTTTTGCTGAAGAGACTCAAGTTGCTTTTTATTTGATATTTCAGCGGGGATCTCTTCTTTCCTTGCATCGGAAATATTTCGTTGTATTATGTCCTGAATTGTACCACAACATATTAGTAGTATTAAAGACCGAAAGAACAAAGGGAGAAACAAGGTGCCTTATAATACCCAAAATTTTGAAAACGAAAATCAGTAATTTCTTTTGCAAGGCAAAATAAGAAATTTTTGGTTTCCAAAGAAAAATAGAAAATCGGAGACAAATTTCACTTAGAAAAAAAAAAATCAAAGAACCCTGTACCAAATAAATTCTCAATATTTTCTCTCTTTTTTTTTTTTGGTTGAATCTACATTCTTAAAATTGAAATAAGAAATAAAAAATAATACGCCTACCACCAAACAATTCCAAATAATTAGTTTCTATTTCTCCAATTAGAAGGAAACTTACCTGCATAGTCACCGTCCCTAGCGTACGATTTATGCTTGCCTCTTGTTGGGCTTTCTTTTGCTCTAACCGTTCACGCTCTTGTCTCTGAAAATGAAACCATAAAATGAGGGATTTTGAATGCACTTCCCTCAAATATAATGTGTGAATGGAGAATGATAAAAGAATAATTTTTTTATATAAAATTTTAATATAATTTTAATATATTATTAAATAAATAAATATTATAATATTATAAACTATAATTAAGTAAAAATAATTTATTATTAAATGACACTTGAAAAGTGTTATAAAAAATTATTTTCAATTATTTTTCGTATATTAATAATTATCTTTCCAAATTTTTATCCAAAAATTAATAAAATCATAAAATAGAAATTCAATATTTGGTACTCCATAACCTACATAATTTAGGAAAAATTATCTTATCACCGAAACATGCTAAAAATCATTTCACCAAAA